ACTCATCAGAAAGATTTCTGATGAGTCTTAATTGATGAAACACAGTGTAAAATGAAAAAAGATTGTTAAGTGATTTTCTACTAATTTATTATTGCTCTGTTCTTTTAAGAACATTGAGCATTCTATTTTGTAGAATACATTTAACATTTAAAATTATTATTATATATATATATATATATATATATATATATATATATATATATATATATATATATATATATATATATATATATATATATATATATATATATATATATATATATATATATATATATATATATATATATGTATACACACATTTATATATTTATTTATGTATATATATAACTTAACATTAAATTTAAAATAAAAATATAATGTTGTTAGTATGTGTCTTTTTAAGGTATTTTTGTAAAATTTTCAAGTAATTCAGATGATTTACATAGGAGGGAAAAATTTTAATATGATCTAGCCATGATCCAGGGTTCGAAGCCAGCTCTGGGAATATCTTACGCCATCAGTAAGGAAAGGAGGCATGAACTTCCTATTTAAATGCTCTTCCACTGTGTTCCATGACAAGAAGATGTTTTAGACTTTAAAATCCTAAAGTTTATTTATTAGAAAATTTCTATAAATAAATATTTTGAGACTATCAAAAATTAAAGGTTTTGAAATTTTCAAGATTGCATTAAAAAACCTCCTATTTGTAATTTTAAACAACTTTTGAAAAATTTCTATAAAAATATATTTTTGATTTTAAATACTGTAAAAACCTAACAAACAAACTAATTTTACAGCTAGTAACCAATGGCAATTTATCTTTTTTTTTAAGAATTTAACCAGGGTCAGGAATTAGATTAATAAAAAGAACAAATTAAGTCGGACTTTGTGACAGGCCCAGTCTAATTACTAATCTAAAGTAAATATAAATAAAAACTTACTGACCCAATATGCAAAAAACAAATATTTTCTACTTTTTAGTAAAGACAATATATTATTTATTTTACAAAAAAATTTTTGAAAAAAAAAACTTTTTTTTTTAAATTTAAAAAGAAATAACTTATTTAAAAATAGTATTAAAAATGTAATATTTAATAAATATTTAAAAGCAAATTTGAAAATATTTAAGTGGCTGTTTTAAAAATAAATTCAATTTGAGATAAAAGACAACAATGTTATTGATATCTCTACTTTGGTTAACTTTATTGTACCTTTTGCAAATTTTTGTAAGTATTTTTATTTGTGCCTCTTCTTTTGTCACTTTTGACAACTCTTTTTAATATCTATGCCAGATATTAAAAATAACAAATACAATTATATATATATCTATATATATATATCTATATATATATATCTATATATATATATCTATATATATATATCTATATATATATATATATCTATATATATATATATATATATATATATATATATATATATATATATATATATATATATATATATATATATATATATATATATATATATATATATATATATATATATATATATATATATATATATATATATAGTAGTGGTCAAAAGTTTTTTTACTATCAATTTTTGTACAATAACTTCTTAACGGGAAATATTTAAAATCATTCTTTGTTTGTGTAATTTACACCCATACAAATATAGTTATAATTGGTAGAAGTTCTTTTGTTTTAATAAATAATTGCATTTAGCTTATAACATTTTTTAGAAAACATTAGTTCAAAAGTATTTCTACTCTTGATTGTTGAATTTTTTTTTTTATAAATTTTTATATTTACATGGAGTTTTTTCAGCAATCTTCATTAAAAATTTTTAAAATCACATTTAATATTCGGAAAACATAAAGAGTATAATGAAGATCTTTGTAAATCAGTAGTAAATGCAATTAATTATCATGGAATTACAAAAGCAAAAACTGCTTGTCTGTTTTTGCTTTTGTGATTCCATGATAATTTGGGGTATTCAAACAACTTATATATGTATGGATCAAGATAAAAACATGCAGGGTAACTTTAGAAACAAGACCCTGATCTGGTTGATCAAGAAAAACTACTAAAAGGGACGATCATCAACTTTGTCAAATGTGAAAAAGTGATGCATGCCTAACTGGACCCCAGATTACTTCTGAATAAAACAAATAATCTGAAGTAAAAATATCTGAGTCAACTGTGAACAGACGTTTACGTGACGGCAATTTATTTGGAAGACGCCCTAGTCAAAAACCATTGAATTCAAAAAAGAACCGGATGGCTCGAGTAAAATTCATCAAAGAGCATTTACACTTGACTAAACAAGACTGGGATTTATCCCAGTCTTGTTTAGTCAAGTGTTGTAGAGTGGTGAAGGTAAATATAATTTGTTTTCATCTGATGGTATTAAGTATGTTAAACATCCAAAAAATAAAAGAAAAGACCCCTGGTACACTGTACCAACCATAAAACACAGAGGTGATAGTGTCATGGTGTGAGGATGTTTTTCCCGTGATTGTGTAGGGCCATCAGTTTAAATTGAGGGCATCATGGATGCCAAAAACTGGATGCCAATTTAAAGAAAAATTTTATGCTATCACATGTTAAAGCGATGGTGTTTCCAGCACAAATAATGACCCTAAACACATTTCAAAAGCTGCAAAAAATCCGTTCACATCTAATAAAGTCCGTGTTATGGATTGGCCTAGCCAAAGTCATGACCTAAATCCCATTGAAAATTTATGGAGGAGCTTGATCGTCAAGTTAGAATCATCAAGGAAATTTTACTAACAAAAAGAACTCGTTTGCAGCTTTACACCAAAAATGGAAAGATACACCAATAGACAAACTAATTGCTAATAAAATAACAAACTATAATATAATAATAAATAAACAAATAAGATATGTCTATAGACTATAACTAATTAAGCTTGTCAAATCAATGCCTCAAAGATGTGCCATGCGATTACGTCGAAAGTTATGCAATTAAATATTAATATAATTATAAATTCCATGAACTTTGATAGTTATCTTGATTTTTTCCTTTTTTTTACGGCGTCTCTTTTGTAAATAATTTATGTCTGGTAACAGTAACTTAGCATCTTGCTCTACTAAATCGAATGTGTTTATTAATCCAAGAAGATAATCACCAAGAGATAAATAAAGTTCAGCACGTGTATCCAGAGTAATAGTTGCACTTTGCATCGATTTAGAAACAGCATTCATTTGTTGTAAAATTTGACTCCATATTATTTATTAAGTAAATATAATTGAAAGAAAAAATACATTTGATTCGAGCAAAATTGAAAAATAATTATCAAAAGTCTAACGCCAATTATTTATTCAATTATATTTATTTGTTTTTACATACTTTACTTTTAATTATATATATACTTTACTTTTAATTTTACACAGTCCTTACATTGTTTTACTTATATACTTATAGTTTTTACATACATACTTATAGTTTATTGTTTTTTAGATATTTATTAATGTTTTTTTGTGTAGAGGAGAGTGGGGCAAAATAAAACATTGAAATTGTAGAGGCATCTTAAGAGTTGTGACAACACCTTTCATATGGTGTAACAGTTTTACTAGAGCTATGTTTTGACAAAAAAATATATCATTTGATATCATTAGGCCTGCGAGGGGTCGAAATTTGTGTTTTTAAATGAAAAATAATTTTTTTGTTAATTAAATTGTTAATTAAGTTGATAAGTTTTAAGGTATCTTACTCAACATTTCTATCGGTAACATTATTTTCTATTAGTAAGTAACATTACATTAACATTGGTAACATTATTTTATAAATCCATAGGCTTTTTACTTCATTAAACAAAATCATTGAAAAAACAAAATTTTCAATTACTAGAATATAACAAGTTAAACATTTGAGACTAGTTAAATTAAAATAAGAAATTTGCATCAAGGTACCCCACCCGTGAGGTACCTTGATACACACTTGATACTAAAAATAAAGTGATTGTTTTCTGTTAGCCAGTATGGGGTAACACCATTTGTGCAGGGCCCCAAAACTATAGAATAGTACTCCATTGTGTCATAAGCAATTCTAAAAATCATTTCTTTTAATATTTACAGTTAATTTTTTAGAGATTTATATAAAAATAATACTAGGAAATTCAATTTCGATTCAAAGCCATTATTTATTTACACTAAAAATGGCATTTAAAACAATATTATCTGGATTTCTGAAATGTGGTTTGGACCATTGGATGCATTATTTGGGTTATAATTATTCATTTGTTTGTCTTTCAAGTAAAAATCTGCATTTTCTCTACATTTTATACTTTCTATTTACTTTTTCAATGATGCTCAAGGTGTGTATCAAGGTACCTCATTTGGTACAAATTTCATATTTTAATTTAAATAGTCTCACAAGTTAAATTTTGGTAATTAATAAATTTAATTTCGTAGGTATAAATTTATTCTACAAACTAAACCAACTGCCTAAAAAAAAAGGTATTTAAAAAAAATTGTTACAAAGCAAAAACCAAAACTGTATCAGTGCCCCACTCCCCTCTAATTAGATCAACTAATAGAGTACATACTAAAAGTGTATATACACTAACTAATAGGGCCATAATCACAGTGTACATTCATTGACAGAGGTTTTTGGCTTGACAACAGAACAATAGTAATAAGATAGTAAAAAATAATAAATAAAAATAAATTTAAAAACATATAGTAAAAAAAATTAATTAAAACATAAAATTTTAATTTAATTCTGAGAAAAAGTTTAAGGTTTAATTTATAATCAAAAATTTAAGAGATTACAAGATAAGTACAGAAATTATAAATTAATTACAACAGGTTTTAACTATTGTAATTAATTTATAATGTATAAATTATATCCCATGATATATTTTTTATTCCTTTTTTTATCTTCTATTAATTTAATATTTATGAATTATTTATTTTAATTATTCTACATATAATTACAAAAGTATTTGCTGTTTGTAAATTATAATTGACAAAAATATACTAGTATAAAACAATCTACCACTGTATTAATATTAAAAAAAACTAATAAATATAAACCTCTTGAAGTGATAATATGCTTCTCTTCAATGGGATTACAGTGCTACAACTTTTATTAAAAAACTCTTGTATTGTGTTAGAAACAACACCCTGCAAAAAAAAATTAAAAAAAAAAAAAAACTTCTAACTTGTTTAGCAAACAACTTTTTTCAAAATTTATTAATATATGCATTGAGTTTATGAAATATTTTAATCTTATACTCAATTTAAATTCTTCCACAGGTTATAAATTTTAAAAGTTCAAAAGTTAAAGATATATAAAATTTAAAACTCCCTCATTTTGGGAATGGAGGAAAATTCACTTTCAAAACTTGTAACTTTTGTCAAAACTTTCAAAAGTTACAAGATTATTAGAGGAAACTTAAAACCTTTCAATGAATTTAAATTAAGTATATTTTTTTATTTATTTTATTTTAATCAAGATATTAACAAAATCTTTAGATAATAATGTAATTTATATATATATATATATAATATATATATATATATATATATATATATATATATATATATATATATATATATATATATATATATATATATATATATATAATAAGATGAATTTTAAATAAAAATAATATTTATTTAAGATGTATCAACAATTATGCAGCCCCGGTCACAAACCCGGCTATACTTTATCAAATCCAGTCCCAGTCAAATTTCAACCCTGGTTGTTTACTACTAAGGAAAACTAATGATTTCTTTTAATATAAAAAAGTTGTTTAATTAAAAGATACGTTTCATAAATATGTTTAAAAAAACAAACTCTATTTCAAAAGAGGTGACTACAAAGTACTAGCCTAACCAATTGTGATGGTTCTCTCCCAAGATTAAAAATATTTCCTTCAAAAACCTGAGGCTTTACACAATGCAAAGTATTTAGTTAAGACCATTTACTTATTTAAAATGTTGCCCTTTTATTTACTCTTCCATATAAGTAACAATGAAATAAATGAAATTCCGTATCAGCAACAATGAAATAAAAGAAATTAGATGACACCTTTTTTCAACATACTTTTTTTTCAATATGCTAAATAGTAACATCAGAAAAATATTTTTTTTAAAAAACTAAATTTTTTACCAATTTTTTTTCTTTCTACATTAGAGTATTCATATTTGTCATAAAAAAAAAAAGACTACTACAAGGCTAGATACCAGTGATGGCTAAGAATAGGCTCAACGGAAAAACCTCAAAATCTCATTTTCTTCACCAAAGCCTATGAGAGAAAAAAAATGAAGAAAACAAACAAGAACATTGCTACATAGAAGAATAAATTGTATATTTAAACTTTTTCAGTGTTCTTTACTTACTTTTTAAAAAACATTCATTTGTAACAGAGTGCTTTGTCATAAAACCTTTGGTTTAACAATTTATGATTTAATACAGTTAAACACTTGTATAAATTTAATAAGCAAAAATACTAAACCAAAAATACAAAAACTGCAAATAATTTTTTCCAAAAACAGCTACAAGGAATGTTTGGACATTTTAAAAAAATTCTACAAATTCTACAAAAAATTCTACAAGGAATGTTTGGACATTTTAAAAAAATATTTTTTTAGAGTATAATATATATGATCTTTTTAAGATTTGAGCAAAAATAAATAAACACTATTTTCACCTCACTGATGAAAAAAACTCACAAATCTGAGAAAAATCAAAACTAACTTTGTGGGTTAATTTTGAGTTTTCCCAGATCACCAATCACCTAGATTGGTGATCTGGGAAAAAACATTTTAACAAGTGAAAGTATAGTTAGACACATAAACCAATTTTAACACTATATTATATATATATATATATATATATATATATATATATATATATATATATATATATATATATATATATATATATATATATATATATATATATATATATATATATATATGTATATATATGATATATATATATATATATATATATATATATATATATATATATATATATATATATATATATATATATATATATATATATATATTAAATGCCAGAGAAAAATTACCTGTCCTTCAAGGTGCAACTTCATTTCTTCAAGATCAACTTCAAATATCTAAAATTTACATTATTTAATGTCATTTTAAAAAGGAACATTTATTTTTAACTTGTTAAACTCTTAAGATATTATATGCTTAGATAACTCAAATATTTATGTAAAAAGATTTATTTCTGTTTATTATGTAAAAAAGTTTATTTCTGTTTATTTATGTTTATGTTTACTTACTAAGTAACAAATAATAAATAGTTGTTGCTATTAGCAACTTTTTTTTTTTTATGTTTAACTTTATGGTTCCATACTTGTATAGTTTTATTGCAATGGCAATTTTATTTAAATAAGATATTATAAAAGAATGTATTGAACTATGCTGTGTATGGCTAGCCTTCTGGAATATAAATTATTCAAAAATGTGTAGTGTGTTTATGGCATAGATCAACAAAAGCATACATTGCTTTTAAAGAATATAGGAGGTGAATCATAGCATAGGCGGCGTACAAAACCTTTGGTGTGATTGCTAGATGCCGAATTCTGCTTAAATACCAATATTTATATACTCAAACCTGTGTCAACACAAAAGAATATATGTATTTGAAGCTTTAAATTGCCAAAGTGTATATGTATTTGATGCTATGTATAATATATAATATTGCTATATATAATATATAATATAATATATGTATTATTATATATATGCTATATATAATATATAATATAAAATATTATATATTTTATATAATACGTAATATTTCAATTTTCAACTTTACATTTTCAAGTTATATCAAGCCTTAGAATTTTACATGATTCAACTTGACATTTTCAAGTTATATCAAGCCTTAGAATTTTACATGATTCAACTTGACATTTTCAAGTTATATCAAGCCTTAGAATTTTACATGATTCAACTTGACATTTTCAAGTTATATCAAGCCTTAGAATTTTGATTCAATGATTAAAATGAATTTCAAAATTAAATTTAAACATTGTATGCAACACTACTTTTTTTAACTCGTGGCATTACAACAGGCTTGGTCAGGAATGGCGTGCACACTGTAACTGACCATGCTTAAAATTTTTTTCTTTACAATTTGACCACAGCTGTTTTCATGTTGTAACAATTTAAATGCAATAAAAATCGTTACATTATAAATAACTTTTAATCGTAAAACTTTTCTTTAGTTTTTATTTTATGCAAAGGTTTTAAATAAAATAAAAAATCAATTATAATGATTGTTTAAAATAAATGCATTTTATGTAAATTAACAAAAAAAATTATATATAAATTTTTTTTTATGTAGGGATGTATTTTTTGTTATAAATTTAAACGTTTGAAACTACTTTTCAATGTCTTTCTAAAAATCATTTAAGCAATTAACTTTTGAAAGATTTTTTTTTATTTTAAATTATCAATAAGTTCAAATCTTTTTGTGGCTATTTTCTTAGAACGAGTGTTGGAACATTTTATATAAGTTATACAAGAATATAAAATAACTTTATTTGCTTATATAAGCATGTATTTTGTTGATTAATGTAAAAGTTTTGAAGTATTTTGTAATGAAATATTTATATAAATATTTATTTGAAATATTTATATAAATAAATATTCATTTATCTTACAATTATTTTAAATCTTTTAAACAAATATTTTATTTTAAAAAATTCTTTTTTTTCATAACGTAAAAGCATTTTGCATAACATTTTTCAAGTTAAATTTTAAAAGTAATTTATTTCAAAACATAATTAAAAAAGTAACAAAAAGAAAATTTCACTTCGAGTTTGATTTTTTTGAGTTTGATTTTAGTGCTTAATTTTTTTTTCGTAAGGAATTGTTTTCTTTTTTCTTTAGTTTTTTTTTCAATTTTCTTCCTTATTTAAGTTTCTTTTTTTCTTATTTAGTGTTTCTTTTTTTCAGTGCATTTCTGAAATGAAAAAAATCTAAACAGTCATGGTCAACTTGTCAAAAAAAAAATTTTCATGGTCATCAATAGCATTCAATTGCATACCATTCTTGACAAAGTCTGAGTTATAACCCTCTTTTAACTCTTTAACTGTGAAACAAGAATTTTGAGAAACAAAGCCAATGCACACAGAAACAAGTTGGATGCAGTAATCAAACTACTTGCTCACAAAGCGAGCACTCTGCATGTAAACATACCACTCTGCATGTAAACATAAAGTTAACAACTTGGTCACAAAGCGAGCACTCTACCACTACCACATGTAAACTAGAAGTTAACAAATTGGTCCCAAAGCGAGCACTCTACCACTACTGCATGCAAACATTAACAAATTAATTCAAAGTATATTATTAGAAATACCTTAGAAATTAGTAGAAATTGTTATTTTTTGAGCAAAAAAATGAAATCGATAAAAAATTATAATATTTTAAGGCATAACTGAAATTTTACATAGTATACTCTATCATATCAGGGACTATTTCAATCTGAAAAACTCTGGTTAATTGGAGTCTGGATCCAAGGAGTCACTTTTTTTTGATCCCAGAGTCCAGAGTTCCTGAAAGTTCTCTAAAAATTGATAGGACTTTGCATTCCTGGTTTTGTGCCTATTTTTAAAACAGTAAATAGTAATAATAAATGATATATATTATCAATTATAACAATTACTATTACTTATATAATGATTAAAGTAATAAATATATTTAATAATTAAGAAAATTATTATTTTAATGATAATAAATAAAAGAAACAATAGTAATAATATAATTAAATATCAAAGCCATGTGTATATATATATACACACACATTTATTTGTATATATATATATATGTATATATATATATATATATTAACATATATATATATATATATATATATATATATATATATATATATATATATAATATATATTAACATATATATATATATATATATAATATATATATTAACATATATATTTATATATATATATATATATATATATATATATCATATATATATATATATATTATAATATATATATATATATATATATATATATATATATATATATATATATATATATATATATATATATATATATATATATATATATATTCCGCTAGCGTAACATTTATGGGGACAGCTATACTTTGTTCCCGTAACGTACATTATATATATTTTTTTTCTTTTCTATTTTAACCATATATGTTATTTTTTTATATTTTTATTTTATGTCTATTTTTATTTACACATATTTAAGTTTATTATTTTGTTTTAAAAATATATTTTTTATAAATATTTATATTATTTTTACTTAACTAATATATATTATATTTCATCTTTTTAAATATATATTTAATAAAAACAATTATTTACAGAAATATAACCATATTTAGACCTTGCCCCAACCCTAACCCTTATCCCAAACTTGTCTCTCGCCCTAACCAAACCCTCAGTCGATGTAATAGCACTCCGTTGCGAGTCAGGCTATAAGATAGTGGGAGCATGTACTTTTTTTTTCGCATAAAAGTTGCTTACAGGGACATTTCATTACAAAAAAAATAGCATTTGCGGGTACAAAAAAATAACGGGTACATTGTTAAAAAAATTAACCATTTTTGTTTATATACATGGTTGAATGACTTAAACTTAAAAACATTCAAACGCCTATTAAGTTTCGTAACAAAACTGTCCAGTCTTGCAGCGGTGATATTCAACTTGCACAAGTATATAAACCACGGCGATCTATACTGCAGGCCTTGCCAGGTTAGCGATCTTTAGCATGCACCAAAAGGAGGTGCCATAGATTTTAAAATTTGCAGACTACGGAAAAATTTATTGATATCAACTATGACGCAAAGATTGTCTCAAAAGCATCCGAAAATTTTATTACCATGCTTTTGAAATAAAAAATTTCGAACGAAGTTTGCTCTTTGAATATTTACTTATATTTGTTTATTGATATTTATATTGTATTTATCAAAAAAATTTAAAAGTTGAATAAAATGAACGAGAATAATTTGGGAGATTGTAATGTTTGTGAGATTGTTTCTTCATTAGATCCCAAAGATTTTGTTGGTAAGATTTTATATTCAATGTAAATATATCTGAACAAAAATATTAATAATATTAATATAGTAATATGATATCAACTGATGGCATTAATTTATTTATATTAGTAGTAAAAATTAATTAATGTCATTATGTGTATTTAAGCCTTAATTGCACTGAAACAAAGTTAAACTTAAAAAAAAAATTAGTTAAAATGTTATTAACTTTGTTTAATTAACATTGTTTAATGTTTTTTAAGTATCAAGAATTGATACATTGTGATAGTATACCTAACGTATATCTTAAAAAATTAATATATTTCGTTTTTTGCTTTTATATTTAATTGATGCAGGCTTTAAGTTTAACTTAAACTTGAAACTTTGCTCTAAGGCACATTCTTTTTGCATTTAATTTATGACATAAACTAATACATTTTTTAATAAATATTTTACATATGGCAAATATTAGGTAGAAAAATGTATACTTATGAAGTTAAATATTCGGTAAAAGAAACAAGTTTTAATTTTTTTTTTTAAATTTTGAAATATAGTTATTATTCAAAATTTTTTATTTCATAATTTTCATTTATTTACTATGTGCAGAACCAGAATCAACAACAGTACCTTTTGATTTCGTTGAAAAAACTCACGAAGAACGATACATTTTTAATGCGTATAGAGATGTTTGTTTAAAACTAAAAGAACACCAAATATTGCACACAGTGCATTATGTTTCAGCATTCTCCAGAGGAATGGGAAAGGAATTACAAGGTTTGCAAATTTAAAAAATTTTTACAATCCAACAATGTATATAGAAGTATATGTTTATGCGTAAAATAAAAGATGTATGTATAGATGTAATGTGAATGTTAGTTATTTGCATTCCCATTTAAAATGCATTTATTTTATTTAAAATTATCTTTTTTTAAAAAATGCAAATTTTTTAATTTTCAACCATTCATTATTTTTGTGTATATAAAATTACAATTTAAAATTAATCAAAGAAAATAATAAAAATTTTGACTGTCCAAAATAACAATTGACCATCAATTCCATGTGTTAGCTGGTCAAATTGGCTGCTTGCCTTCAATTTTTTTTTTCTATGCTGCTGTTGCATGCTCTCCAGAAGTCACAAGAGCCTAATTTTTTAGATGAAATACAAAATTTCATGACCTGAGAATAGTGGGTTTATGCATTAGACAAAACCTTTTTACAATAGTTTCTAGCAATAGTAAACGGACATTTGTTTTCTGGAGAAATGTTTTGCTGATAGTTATGGAAGTAATGATAAGTAAAAAGGTAGAAAAGTATAAAAAAATTATCAATATTGATCTTTTCTATTCCTTTTATATTTTATATTATACTTCTAGAGTCTATTTTATTAAGTTAAACAATTTTAATGTAAATATTTGTAATTTTAAAAATAAAGTATTTTTTGAAATATTTACTTATTTAAAAATAAATAAAATAAAATAATGCATTAATACCCTTCTATATCCTACAATCTTGGATTATAAATAGATATTAAATTATATTTTTATTTTTTCATTTTCTGAAATAAGTTGTTTTATAATAATATAATGGCAATATTTATTTATTTGTTTTATAGAATTGACCAAAAAAAATCATAAAGTTTTTTTTGAAGATAAAGATTTTCTCTATTCTGGAGTTCCTTTTATTATATCTTCACAGTCTACTCTTGACTGTCAACAAGGGAAAGACCGAAATGTTACAGTAAAAGCTGAGTACAGAGAGAAAAAAAATGATGAAGCGGTAAGTTACACAACAGCTTTAAAGTTCGTGCTAAAAAAAAAATTATTAATTTTTTTATTATTGTTTTATTTATTTTTTATTGTTATCAATATCTTCTCTTTAACATTTAATACATATCAATAAAACTGTTTTTTTCAATTATGAGATTTTTTAGTTTTTTCTTCTTATAAATTTATTATTATTTATTTTAAGTTCTTTTAAATAATGTATCAATCTCATACTGAAATTAATAATTATTTTTCATTATCTCTACCAAATTTTTTTTTTAAATTTTTATGTTCATATTTGGTTTTATAACTAGTTTTGCTTAATTTTAAATTGTATATTATTGTTGCATTCCATTGTCTCGCTTTGTAACCTCAGTTATATAACTAACAGGTAAAATCTCAATGGTAACATTTCCCTGCCATGGTATTATATCTTTTAAAACCTCAAGTGTTTTGTTTTGAAATTTTTTTTATGTTTCTTGCATTTGCGCATTTCACTCTCTTTTAAGTTGTTTTCTATCAAAAATATTTGAATCACTAACCGCTTCAAAGTTAAGGGGCTTCATTTTAAAATCACCCTAGTTAAAATTATCCCTATTCAATTCTCCATCTTCGCTTCAATCCACATTACCATTATCAGTTAGTTAAATATATTCAGCCATCTTATTGTTTTTTTCAAAACAATATATTAGATAGCACTTCTGTCTTTAATTATAACACAAAAAAATGGCATTGAGTCTTTCATCTAGCTATGGACTTTGCTAAATCCAAATCTTATTACAAGGTATGGATGCAGAGCTGATATCACATAGGCAAATTATAATAGTTAATCTTAACTCTTAAACTGTTGCATCACCATCTGGTACTACTTTATTAGTTCGTTTTCCTTCTTTATCCCAAAACATGGTCGTTGTCATAAGTCATCAAGAGAGGTGTGTCCTATGACCCTCACCATAGCCGCCTTTTACATTTATTATTCATTGGTAATTGTTTTATTTTCTGGTTCATCTAAGCCAGACTATTAATTCATGAAATTGCAGTAATGGAATAATTGTCATGAGAGGTGCTTTTTATTTTTTGTTGTTGAGGACAAACCCCTTTTGACATCTCCAACAAGTACAAAAATTATAATTTAAAATAAACGCATTATATGTAAATAAATGTTATATTTAATTTTTTTTTTCTAGGTATGTATTTTTTATGATAAATTTAAACATTTGAAACTATTTTTAAAATAGTTTCAAATATTTAAATTTATCATAAAAAGTCTTTTAAAAATTTTTTATTGAAAGATAATTTTTTACATGTTTAAATTATGAATAAGTTAAGTCTTCCTAGGATTTAATTGCCTTTTTTTTTACAAAGTTTTAAAGTTTTTGTTTTTTTTTAAACTTGACTTTTAGTCAAAGAATGAAATGATTAAGTATTACAATTTTAAAAAGACAATGTTTGTTTCTTTAGACAATTTTTTTTTGCAACTTTGAAAAAAAATGTTTAAACAACTTAAAAGTATTATATTTTTTTCTTTTCAATAATTTAAATAAAATTTGTTTATTTATTAAACAATAAATAGGAGTAATATGTAAAAGTGTTTTGCGTAACTTTAATAAAGCGTTTCAAAAGATAAGTTTTAAAGTAATTTCTTTTAAATGCAATTAAAAACGTAACAAAAAGTAATTTTAGCTTGAGTTTTATTTTAAAGCTTTTAATTTATTTTTAATTTACTTTACTTTTAATTTTTATAAATATAATAAAGTATTTATTTTATAGAATTTAATTTCCTTTGGTCAAAATGTCTGATTTATATATACTTTAAAATGTCTTCAAAATGTCTGATTTATATATATACTATATATATATATATATATATATATATATATATATATATATATATATATATATATATATATATATATATATATATATATATATATATATATATATATATATATATATATATATTCTAATATATAGGCAAGAGACCATTCTTGTAGAAAACATAAAAATATTGTGCAAGTTACAAAGAAATTCGATTGCCCTGCAAAGGTTCACATAAAAGAAATACTAGAATTTCCAGAGTTTAAGGTATAGTACTTTGTATTTTTTAACAAGCGAAGATGATAGAGTAACTTATGATTTATAATATGATAATATTTAATAAAATTCTTGATTAAAGTAACAAGTTTAGGTTACAAAAAGAGAGTTGACTCTCTTTTTGTAAATAGATTGGGCAATCTGCCTAAAGTAGTTTGGTATCCATGTAAATCTTATCAATATATATTATACTTTACTAGAACCCTTTTATAAAATGTCTTATCAACAATAAATTTATACTTTTTTTATAATAAATGTTTATTATCACCAAAAGCTATTCTAGACCGTTTTCAACAGTGTTGACCGTATTTGGGCACCGATTTAGGGGCCGCCTAAATGAAAAATCAAGGACCTCTTTCTTTTTTTTAATATTTTTTATGGCAAATATTGTTTTTTCCAATTAAAGGTTATACTAGGAAAAAAATATGGGGTACCACCGCCCATATTTTTTTCCTAGTATAGCCTCTGATCAAAACTTTGTATGTGTTATTAAACATGTATTTGTAGATTTATTATTTTACTTATATTTCTATTAATTTTAAATTAAAACAAATATTAAAGCTTTACTTACCAATCTTATGATTTTCATTTGAGTATTTTACAATTATATAGAACGTTTTACATACGGTCTCTCGTTTCTGTGCAAGAGAGCGAAGTAAGTTCTTACTTATTTTTATTTAAACAATGGGAACTATTTTATAACTTCTCTGGTTATTTTTACGCTATG